TTATTAAATTGTTCTTGCTTACCGTATTGTCGCGAAATAACGGGCATGGGCGTTATTTAAAAAATCGTGTCCCCTAAAAATAGCATGCATGGTTTCAAATAGTGTTTCGCAAAAAAGATTCGAACAGATTCGGTATTTTTAGCGGGTATGAAAGTAGCATTTCATAAAGCGTACCCGAACTGAAATTGCATATATGATTAATATTGAAAATAAACTACTAGCAACAGACTTCACCTGTCTATCACAGATACCTGTCACCAGTGCAGGTTGATTTGAATCACGGATCCGGTTTACGCAACGAGTTTGAAAGATTGGTATTGGCTACAGATGTACGTGAAAGACAAGTAGTGCCCATTACCGGCAGTGTGTTTTCCATATTAATTATATGAAATCCTACTTACATACCCATTAAAAATACCGAATCCGTTCGAATCTTTTTTGTTTCAAAATAACGCCCCGTATCTGCTATCAAAAATGCCACTTTTTCTATCTTCAACATCGAAAAAGTAAATAATCCATGCGCGTTGCGCACCTCATGTTAGGGCTTCAGCAAGTAATTAGATATAACAGGCGGTTTAGAAGAAATTTTATCTTTGTCTCAAAATGACGCCCATGTGTGTAGCGCGCATATACTCAATTATTTCGTGACAATACGGTAAAGTTTTAAAAAAACATCAAAAATAATTGCTTGGTTTCTATTATCTCAATCTAATTAAATCTATAAATTAATTGATAATTATCTATTATATACTATATATATATATATATATATATATATATATATATATAGTATATATATATATAGTAATATATAATTACTATTACGTACTGTAGTACGTAATAAATAGCAAATTTCTAAAAATTACTACGTATAATAAATTTTTACAATATTAAATACAGTACGTATACGTAATAAATTTTTAAGTATTATTTTAGTATACACGTAAAGACTTAATACAGTGTAGAGCTTCTGGTACAAGGTACTTGGCGATGCTAATAATGCACCAATATGCTGCACCAGCTGAAATGTCAACATAGATATAGCGCAGAGGACAAATCATAATATATAGTTATTGGATGCGAAGCAGCCAATAACTCGAATTATTTGTAAAATAATTCATTAGGAGTTATTGGCTAGCGTAGCATACAATAACGGAATTATGACGATTGTGCTTCTAAATGACTCGAGTTTTGGCAGTGATTACATAAACTGCCAAATAACGAAGTTATTTGGCAGATGACGTATCACTGCCAAATAACTCGAGTTATTTTGGCAGCACAATCATAATAAGCTGCCGGATAATTAAATTTACGTCTTACCAGAAAGTAAGATGTTATTAGCTCTATTTATTAATCATTAAATATATAAGCTAGATTAAGCCACTAACATCCCTACTACGTAGAAGATGGATGTAAATCGGGAATTGCAACATACATGATATGGGCTCAGTTTAAGATTACTAGTAGTGAAACATCCAAAACGCTCTAGCAAATTGGTTAAATTGATGAGAAGGATTGCTAAAAGTATGATTATAATATCTATCTACTACACTTTGTGTGCGGTCTCTGCAACTAAGGAATTGATAGGGTCAGAAATTTCACCAACAGCATTTTAAAATATATATCGAGATTTAGAAATGTATTTGTGACCATCAAGGTGAATATCACTTGCAATCATCCGCGATAAAAATTTTATCATTGGATGTCGTTGGAATATTTCTGGGTGCCAGAAAGTTCTGGGGGATTTTTTTGAGCTTCTAATTCGAATGCATGCTTTGCCATCACCGAACATAATAAAGTGGTGCACCTAATGACGGGGTTCCTTAAAGCAGGTAGATCTAATATAATGATCTACATAATGCATAAGCTGTATTTTTGAATATCTATATAAACCACTAATAATAATTGTATCAAAAAAGTAACTCTTTACTAATCAAAAACGTAACTTTGATTAGAAGAAAATCTTAGATGTGGAATACTTTTATTGGTTAAATATAAATTTTACATCGATAATAATTTTTACCTTTTTACCTTGTCATATTTTTTAAATGCAAAAATGATACGTTCCCTCAGTAAATTTACATCATGGCGAGCGTTTTTATTAGCTCTCCTGACCTTAGCTTTAGTACAAGCCGAGGGTTTTGTTTTAAGCGACGTAAAAATCGCTGTAACTACGTCCGAGTCTGTTAGAAAACTTTATGAAAGGTAAAAAATTCTATAAAAACGGATATTAAATGATCTGAAACTATTTATACTAACGATATTTTTGTATTTATTAGCATCCCTTATCCATCTTCTTTTGATAAACCGATTCAATTAACTTCAGGGGATGATTTTAAAATGATATTTGTCGTTACCGATAAGCAAACACAGAAAGGAGTCCAACCACATCAAGCTTTTTTGACATTGACTTCAGAAGAAAATGGTAATCAAATACCTATTATTGTACGAGTAAGAGAAAACGGAAAAGCAAAGGTCGAATTGGTAAGATCTATTGACATAAATTAATGGTTTAAAATGCACTGTAAAAGCTATTTATTTATATTAGTCATTTTTTTAATGAAGGATATGAAATCAGCTCCTAATGAACTTCTTTCATCTCCCGGAAATCATTCTCTTGATTTAATAATTGGAGCCTTTTCTCACAATGATCCACTCAAATATCACGTCGGTACTCTTGAAGTTGATGTACCTATACAGTCGTCAGGTCCTTCTCCGGTTGTCTATGGACCAAAGCCAGAAATTCACCATATTTTTAGGCCAGATGAGAAGTTACCGCCAATTTGGCTGTCATATAGTTTTATGGCAATAATATTGATACCATGGTTATTCTTAATTGGTGCTGTACGTATTACGTATTTTTTTCGTTCTACCTTTTTTTTTTTTCATAATTCTAACTTGAAATCTCCTTGCTTTATTATAATAAAAGTGGGCATATATTGGTGTGAATGTCTCCCTGCTTGCTAATGCACCAGAATCTGCTTTAATGTCCTTAATTTTTTTGGGTACACTATTAGGCATTGAAATTTTATTTTATAATTATTGGACGCATTTAAATATCTTTCAAACTTTGACATGGCTAGCTGGACTAAGTATTGTAGCATTTATTACCGGTCAGAAGGCACTTAGTGGTGTTCAAAAATGGAGATCGATGGGATTAAGATGAGTGCTAATATCCATATTACCGGTATGCAGTTTATCAAAAAAAAAAATTAGGGTACCGTTTTCTAGTGAAGAAAGAAAAGTTGTTATGGCCGAAAATTGTCTGATACAAAAATATTAGGGATAAAACTATTTATCGTTCGGTTATGTTGTTACTGCCATACAGATTTTATCATTCTTCGTATGGTTTATATTTAATTTTTCATTAGATGTATTCTAAAACTAATAATAAAGAATTTTACACAGGAAAAAACTATTAGCATTGTTTAAAGAAACAAAATTCGGGGACTTTTCTTCAATACTTATAATAGTAACAACTGCCGGACGATATTAACGCTATCGTATGAGGGCAAAAAATCGATTAATAGTGTGAACGTATATTAGTGGCTAAATCAATGTTTACCAGGCCAATATCGCGACCGAAAAAACATTTGATTCAATCACTAATATACGTCGATATCAACATAATTAAAAAATTATTGTATTAATGCTGTATATTATCAAATAGCGTACGTATATGTACATGGTGTTTTGTTGCTAGAGCTAATAATACAATATTGCAATATTAGTGCTGTCAGAGGAAAGTAAGATCAATTTTATCATTTATTTTACTGGATTTAGCCTAATGGTGTACAGGAGCGACCGTCGATGTTACACGACTGACTTTTCACACGGTGTGCAACATATAAAAAAACTATTTTACAATACCAGATCATTCCGACAGTACATGTTATGATTATAATCCCACA